CCCCAGTCCTTTGCCGGGGCCCTGGCCACCGGCAGCTGCACCGTCACCCTCAACTGCCCGGCGGAGCGAGGGGACAACGTCTCCTACAGCTGGGGCAGCCGGGACGCCAGCACCTTGGGGTTCTGCTCCCACAATGGCAGCCTCCTGCACCTCTCCTACCCCCTGCAGAACGCAAGCATCGCCTGCGCCTGCACGGCCAGCAACCCTGTCAGCAGCCGGGTCGTCCCCTTCAATTCCTCTGAGTGCAGCTACGAGCAAGGGGGTAAGTCCCCAGTTGCTGACCCGGCTCTCTCCAGCCTCCCAGTCCTGCTCTTGCTTTGCAGGGGACTTTTTCAGGCTGCAAAAGGAGCCTTTTGCAAAAAAAGCGGCTGCTGCATCACCTGCTCAGGGTTGCCCCGTCCTTCCCGTAAACGCCGGCCGTGGGTCCCACCTGCCTCCCCGGCCAGCCCGGCCACCGCACTCGCCGCGCCCCGGTGCTCGAGGCTCATTTTAAATGCATGAGACTTGTACGCCAGGCGGTTTGGGGAGGATAAAAACCCTTGGTGACAACTTCCCCTTCGGAGGCTCTCGGGGCAAAAGTCACACTCTCTTTCACCGGGGTTTTCTAGCACTCCCTCGTGACGTGGGGGACTTTCACCGGGGTCCGATGGCACGGTGGCTGTCCCTTTCCCTGGGGACCCAGAGGCGAAGTCACACCTCTGCTGGGACTCTCACAATGACCTGTCCGGGGAAAATATCCCCGTGGGAAAAACGGGTTGGGACTCTTGCTTAGGAAAGGCAGATGCTGAAATGAGATGCTCCAGGGGGGTTTTGGGCTTGTTTCTCACCCCCTTGCCCCAAAAACCCCTTGTACCGAGGGAGACCCCTGCACGGTGTCACCGTTACTGGTCCAGGAGCGGGACCACCCTGGGTGCCTCCCCGTGGTGGGAGCGCGGCTGGAGCTGCAGAGCTTTGTCCCAGGGCCCTTTTCTCACACACCTGCGATGCAAGGGCGTTGAACGAAGGGGTTGCCTCCCCGCAGGCCTCCATAAAGCCACCGGAGAAGTTTTCAGGGCTTTATCTAGCCCCGATCTGGCCCCCAGCAGGTTTTTCACTGACTGTTGCAGTCTGGAGGCGATTAGAGAGAGCTCTGCTCAAGAGAAGCATTTCCTGCCCCTTGTTTCCTGTTCTATCAACATCATCAGCCCAAAATTAGGTGACAAGGTGAAGAAAGACTTTAGCTCAGCTCTGGGTGACCCTGGGCCCCAGGGCTGGTGGGTGACCCCCTCCCTTCTCTGTCCCCCATCCCAGGCAGCGCCGGGCTGAGGATGGAGCATCTCGTGCTGGTGGTGGTGGTGCCCATCGCCGCAGTGATGATGCTCACCGGGCTCTTCATGGCCACCCATTTGGCCATGCCCATCGGTGAGTGCCGCGAGGGAGGGGTGCTGGGGCAGTTGGTGGTCTGTGGGTGGGGTGAACCTTGGCGGGGGGAACAGAAGCTGCCCCCAGTCAGCCCCAGTGAATGTTCCAAGGGGCTGATCCCCGCGGGCACCTTCATCTTGGGGGTACCCTGGCCCTTGGGAAGGCGTAAAAAGTGTTTCTCTTGAAGCACAGAGTAAAAGGCCG